TTTTTTTTTCAAAGATGGAGGTCTTGAGAAAGTCTTCTTTTACCAGTAAATACGCAGCCTATGTAACAGAAGGCACGTCTTACTTAAATATTTGCGAAACAATCCATCAGTTGCATGGAAATCGCAGAAATGCGCGCGCGTGCGATGGTGCAGCCGCTGTCGCATGTGTCAGCTGCATCTTTGTTGGTCTTCCCAATGGCGACTATAGACTCGGATTGTCCCCATATCGTCTCGCAACATTAAGAATCCATAGGCGACGATCTATCCCACTTTTGCGTTTTCCATGGTAGCGAACAAATTGTATTTTACCCGGTCTGATAAACGGCGTCTTCGCTTAATGTCTTGAAAATTCTGAACATTCTCTCATGTGCCGATGTGAAAAAAAGGGCTGAACAGAAAACGTCAAGGGCACACATTATCAACCAAGGTCACCTACATTTCCAGCTGCAGCAAGAACATGGTCTGTTTGTTTTGCTGTTTGACAGTTCGGAGATTTGTGATGACGTGAATTTAGGCATTTCTTAAAGAGAACTTGGCAGCTTTCACTTGGGAAGAGCTTGTATCTTCTATGAAGCTTGACTTGGACCAAACACTTTCCAGTTTTGTGAGTTTGCGTTATCGAAATGAAGCTTGACTTACCTAAAATGTGTTTCTATCTTCCTAGAGGGTGGGAGAGATTGGTCTACCGACTAGTCTACACTCAAAATTAAACTGTCATCATTCATTTGATTGCCTTCTCTTCCTCAGAATGCGAATACTCTTTCTAATATTCTAGATTATTATTACCACTAATATTTTACCCAGTAATCATTTGAATTTAAGTTGAGAGATCTCTGTTTGAAGCCACACAGATGTTCCGATCAAACCCACTTATAAATTTACACCTTGTTTTTGTATCGTCGGCATTTTAACCTATTCGTCAAATGCAATTGTCTTGAGCCAATCGGCTCTTTACAGTGCAACAATCTGGCGAATATGCAGCAACACAATACTCATCACCCGATTCAACCGGATTGAAAGAGAATGTGTTATAGCTTTGTAGGTGTAGATATGTATGAAATGTAATTTCTCTAACTCCATTCCTTTTTTTTCTGCAAATGTCTTGTTCATTTTTATCTTTCGGTAGGCAGATGTTCAGAATTTCTAGAATCGAATTAGTAGAAATTTGAGGAAGGGCGCGCACCCTGTTAATGACCTTTCAGCCGGGCAATTGTAAGAAGTCGGCGATTAAGAAAAATACTGCCTACTACCCGCTCTCAATATTACGCAAACGTCATTTTACATCGTGCCTGCTGTTGTTATTCGGCTTTCCCGTTGTTCCGCTACGTTTTATGGTTAGAGAAGGAAAAGTGCATAATTGATAAGAACTCGTTGATTAAAATTTTTCTGCAGTTTGGGATTTTAATGGTTGTTCACAGCTTTATCCCGTTTAAGAACATGCCTCTTTTACGGCTTTTGTCTATTTTAACTACTATACTTAATGAGATTTGCCGTTCTCTCCAACAAATCATCTCAACTATTGTTCATGAGAAAGCGCAAATGAATTTTGCTATAAGAAACTAGTTAGTTTTCTGTCTTACTGTATATCTCTCCAACTTCTTCAAAGATTGTATTACGCATATTAAAAGTAGTTAATCAAGATGTATAGGCCGTTGTTTTAGACATTTAGCTCTCCATAATTTAGCTAGAAACGTATGGCATTCACGGGATTCTACCTAATCAAAGTAGTTCTTGACTTCTCCTCAAAATAGCACTAAGGCGTGTATCATTTATGTTTTTAGAAAAAGTATATAGAGGAGTAATAAAGGAAGACCCTTTTGCAACTATATCTTTGTGCCCAATGTAGATCGTGTAGACTTTCAGCAGTCGTCCCCTTATATGTGAAAATAAATCACTAAACGTAGTACCTTTTGCATTGTCCGTCATACCCAAATTTTTGAAATTCCGCAAACCTTTTTAGGTAGCAATATGACTCTTGTCATTTTATATGTGATATGCATATTCGCCATTACTTCAGCCTATAGAACCACTCGAATTTATCATTATAATGGACGAAGTTACAAAGAAATTATTGATCAGCCATGGTTTCGCTATTTCCACGTACCTCATTATATGGTAAGGCATTATCAGCTTCACCGTTAGTTCATCTATAAAAAGTAATTTTTAGATCCCGGTCACAGAGGTGAATGAGACAAATTTTGGCAAGCATGAACTTCCTGAAGATGATGTTTACGTGGAACATGACTGGACAGATGAGGAAACGAAGTATCTGCCTTGTATGGATCTACTCTGTGTGTGTCCGTACTATGGAGGTATGGGTGCTGTGTTAGAGGGCAGCTTAGAGTGCTCGATTGGATTCAACTCTGCTTATGATGTGATTGCGTACTTCACACCAACTCTAGCAAACACTACGTCTGGATTTGCTTGTCCCATTCCCTACCCTCCATACTCTGTGTTGAATTGGAAAAGCGAATTATTAACTGCTTAAAATCATTCACGGAAGCGCTTCTACTTACGTTCCTTAAAGTTGTCATCAACCTCAAGCAATATAGCATAGTTTCCTCACGTCTCATAAATGAATAGATAAAGTTGGAAGTTGTATGAATGTATGTATATATTTTGCATGCGGGTATGGATGGTCCGAATGCAAATTTTTAATACGGAACTGATGAGGCCCAAACTCTGCATACGTGTACTTTGCGACTTTGAGTGGTAAAGCGGACTACTTTAAATTTGTAGTCTGCTGGCGTCAATTCACAATTTTCTCGATGCGGTAGCTCATTTTCTTGAGAATAAAATAACATCCTCACCAGATTATTTGAACAAGTCCTGTAATCAAATATAGTTTGAGTGTGGAAGTACGTTGAAGCGAGGCGGTTGCCAGATGAAGCAGTAGGTAGTAAAGGGGCAGAAACAACCAGACTGTGTGCATTTTCTTTCAACATTAAAAAAAA